TACTAGACAGACCATTGGAGGCAAAAGTTGCTTTAATAGAACAGTATTGTTTCCGGAACTGCGTATTTAAATCCTAAAAAGACAAATTGAGTCATTGTATTATCTTAAATAACACTATTCACAAAGAGCTCATGGTGCACTAACCTTGTCTGGACCTCCCGTTTCCTATGTCTTATCACAGCCCCTCCTCTGCCTTGCTCCTGCTGTGTTCAAAGCCATTTTTACATTACCCTGAACTGCTTTGCTGGAGTACTGATGTCTCGGTGTGGAGTTTGCACTATGAAATACACAGCTTGGGTACAAACGAGCTGTTGATATACATGCGTGCTAGACTTTTCATTGATTTCTATTTTATGCTGACATGTTATTGGAAGGAGATATTCTTGACATAAACAGCCACCTTCTGGCCTGTAGCCTCTCATTATGTCCTAACAGGGTAACAATCCTGCCCGATGGCTACAGACGGCCACCACAGAACAGTGTGGGCCTGGAGCTGCCTGCGCGAGGTTGAGGAAAGGGTTAGTGTGGCCCATTTCTCTGTGCCAGTTAGATGTACCCAGCTGGCGCTGGTACCAGCTGTAGCAGAGTGTTATTCCTTCTAAGGCAGGCTTTCTTTATCTTAAGCTTTTATTTTATGCACTGGTGACGCTGAAGTCTGTTTTTGTATTGTTTTGATTCTGTCAGATTCCATTCTCCAAATTCTTTCTCTCCAGTCGGGGAAGAGTCCAGGATGACCAGCATCCTATCTGGTTAGACAAGGCAAGTTTGCTGTAGGCTTTATCTGTCTGAAATTTCCTTTAAGATCATATTGTCGTGATGTACATAATTTACAAATCCTTTAACGTTTATGAATTTGAAATTGAAGGGCCTCTTCTGGTTATAGGGTACTTCTGTGCTTGCCTTTGCATTTAAATTATCCTACTTTGTGATAACAGTGTCAGTTGACTTCAAAGGAGTTCCAACAATATTTTCAAGAGATGGAGATAACCAAGAAACGACTGACAACCTGGCTTTTAAAACAAAAAAAAACCACCAACTTTTTTTTTTGAGGAATGGTCAAAGTGACTAAGAAATCTAAAATGCCGGTTGGCACAGTAATGGCAAAAATAATAAAAATAAGCGTCATCAGCTTTCTTCTGGACAGAAGGCTGTCAGGGATATCGTGTCGTGAGATTTTATTTGGGCATGCACTGTATCAGTAACCGGGATAGTGAGCAGTAAACTGATGTATTTATAGGCTGTTTTTTGTGTTTTTTTTCCAGGCTTTCTAGTCTAAGTATTAAGTAAACGTGTGGAGTGTTTTTTATTTTATTTCTGCAAATAGGTAGACTAATTCACTGGTTCACAACAGGAAACATGTTGGAAAAAACTGTTTCTGCATCTCTTTTTTTCTTTTAAATTTCAGTGCCCCTCCTGTATGTAACTGAGGGCAGCTTAATACCCAGTGACTACCAGAAGGAAAACAAACAATAGTGTAAATATATATGGGGAGAAAATAAAAGGCTCGTTACTTGAACCCAGTGTTAGGGACCTGGAATGTTGCATTCAGTTCCTAATTGCCTTAATAAAAAACCAAAAATAAACCAAAAAAACACAAACTAGGAAAAATTTGAGGGCAATTCAGTGAATGGCAGCGTGAAAACAATCTATTCTAAAACAGAAGAAATCGGGTCTGTAGAAAGCAAGTGTGAATGATATGAAGGTGGATCAACTACAGTATAAAATATGCTTTGTGGAAGAAAGTTTTTATAAAAGGCCTATGTTTAAATACAGACACTGAAGAATTTGTCAGGCTTTGGAAGATAACAGTCATTCAAAATGGTAAATGAAAACATAAAATTGTATATGGGGTGTTTAAAAATATTTACCAGGATTTAAAGGGACAAAACAGTACTTGATCTAAGCATCCTCCACTTAATTTTCATTCCTTATTATCTCATGCTTAGTATTTCACAGTAAAAATTATGCACTTGCATATAATATGAAGTGTAATTTTACAAATGTATTTTAAAGAAACCTAAAAATAAGGGAAGGGGTTTGAAGGCAGTTACAGAAATCTTGGTAACAGTGGCTAAGAACCTTGGCTTAATATAAAACAGTAACAAAGTTCCACGCATTTCAAAATGCCTGTTTGGGTGCACTTTCACACTGTACCAGGTGTGTGACTTGGCTAGAATCAAACTTCCCTTCCATCCTCCATTACGTTCTGTTTGTGTTTCTGGCTCACGAAACAGTTGTAACAGACTTTATGAAAATGTGTTTGTACACCCAGTGGTGGTAAAACTGGCCATACACAAACCTTGAAGGATAAAATTTGCAGTGTTGCTTTAGGCTCAGGCTGTTGTTAAGAAAGGGTTCAGCACAGTGGCAGAAAGGCAGAAGGGAAGTAGTTCCCATGGGGTCTGTTCTGGGAATGTGGTAGCAAAGCATTCAAGCCTTAAGAAATGCTGCTGCGTTTTGAACAAATACCAGCTTAAACTAAATGGCCGTGAATTGTTTGTGAAATATGGAAGTGGTAGATACAACTGTGTTTGATTTGATGTAGCGTCATAAATACTGTTCTAATGTATGTGTCTTTTAATTAGATTAGTACCCTTGGATTCACAATTGGAGATAAAGTCGATGGTCCGTTCCAGCTGGAGATTGATTTTATTGGCCTGCTAAACGATAGAGCTCATACAGAAGAATTTGCTTATGAAACATATGAAAAGAATCCTCAGATCTAAGTTGGGCTGGTGTCCTGGTGGACAGTCTTCAACTGCTCGGTTCACCTTTATGAAACACTTCTTAACACATGGCTAATAACAACTTAAAGATTCTGTGTAAACAGTAAAGAGATAAGTGCACAAGCTGTTAAGGGTAGTAATCTGACTAGAGTGACACCCCTGGCATCTCTGAGCTGCCAGATACAGAATCCCGGAGAGCCTGTACATACATGGACTGGAACAGAGCTTGGGAGAGTTGCAATGCGTTCTCACACAGTAGTAACTGGTGACTGGGTAAGTTTTGGCTTCTGTCCTGACCTTTACAGAAATAAAAGTATTTCATGAGCATGGTGCAGTTCTTTTTTTGTACAACAGTTTCATTTTCTACATTATATGGTTTGTAGACAGTTGTAAAACACATCTGCTAGTTTTAAACTGGAAAAAGTATGATGAGAATTAATACCCTGGGGAGTGGTATGTAAGTGTGACTCAGCAACTCAGATTTACAAAGAGCAGCACCAGAAGTGGAAAAGTTAGAAGTATTTCAACCTTTAGCTTTGGCTCTTCTGAATAACTAAAAAAAGAAAAAGCTGCCCCTGCCAGCATTGAAACAGCAGCTATGCAGCAGGCTCAGCTTTTTGTGCAGAGCTGGTGGTGATGGTCCTCCAGCATTAGAGGTGAGGCTGTTGAACAGAAGTAGTGCTCCGTGGGTGGGTTGGGGGGAAACCCCCAGCACTGTCTGTTCCCCGAGGAGCTGGAGCTCAGCTTGCATCACACCATACACAGCAGATCAGGTCACACTTCTGATGGCTGCAGTTAGCGTAACTCATCTGTATTATATGAAGTCACAGCCTCAGCTAGCAGCACAGAAGGCTCCATACCTCCATTTTTCTGAGAAGTCTGGTGTTCAGTAATTTGAGAAATACTTTAAAGAACAAGTGCTGAATGGTTTCATTTCAGGCTAATCAAAGCACTGACCTCTTCTCCAGTGACCTTGTTTAAGTATACTTTACAAATATTAAATGTACCTATACTTTTTATCAGAGGCCAGAATAAAGCAAGCTAAAGCAGTGCCTTATACTATCATTTCCCTCTTGCGCAGAATTAAATAGCTTAACAGTGAAAGAAGGGTAATGGTTAGAATTTCTAAAGATACCAGAACAAACATGCTTTCATAAAGTGGTAGGCAGGCTAACTAGTAAGGAGAACTTGTCACAGAAAAGACACAAAATAGTAAATACAAGCATGAACAAAGCTAGTGCTACACTAAAGGAGACAGTTAAACATAATACACTAGATAATATAAAGTGATAAACAGGATGTATACACAAAATATTTATTTCCTTCCCATTAAGTTTATTAAAAAGAATTAATTGCTTGTTCTTGACATTTCAGCATATATTTGATGGGACACTAAATTCACTGAAACACATTCTGGCTGAGATAACTGCTAAATTACCTTTCCAGTTCCATCCCTAATGAATCCAGACAGCTTGTCTATGTATTTTTAAAGAGTAACTGCTTTTAAATCCAAGGTAGTGAATCTGCCTTAACATTACTGTAACCTCTTTCAAGCATCATAGATATGAAAAGCAGAAGAATTTTATTAACACCTGCTATTTACTATAGAAAGGATCAAAGATAACCTAACTTTTCAAAGCATCCAGTTGGGAATTTGTAAAGATGCTTTTCAGTTGTAACTTTTTACAAATATGGTATTTTACAATAATGCTGTAAGCTTTTAGTCTCACAGAGCTTGCATATTTTGTCTTCTCTTGGAGATTCCCTAATACTTCATAGGCATGCAATTAGAAACGCTGAGTAATTGATGTAACTGTTGCTACAGAATTTCAGGACTGAGCTGGAGCACAGGGCAAGCAGACACCACCGACTCCTGTAATTTCCCCGTGGCACATTTTGAAGCTTGCTATGCACAGTGTGCATTCCCGTGGGTGACAAATGCTTCTGGTGGAGGAGTCTGTCCTATGTTGCAAGGAGGCTTCTTGAGCATTTTTTTTTCCCACATTTTCTCCTTTAACATCTTTTAGTTCAATGAGTTAGTTAAATGAAAATATTACTAAGCAACTAGAGATAGTTCCAGCTCCTAAAAGTTGAGAACTCTTGCCTGGCACAAGCTGATCACTAAAACATTATGCTCAGATGCATTATAAGGTCCCATTCAATGCTGTCTGGATTCCACTAGCTAACAGCAACCTGAACCATACACGAACAGCACACATATTTACATGACAGGAACAGTATTTACAGTGATTTCTTACGTATTTCGTATCCCTCCTAACCCACAGATATTCCTCTACAGTTTCCGAGAGCCTGTGCCTTTTTCTTCTTTCTCTCTTGCTTGTGTTTGTCACGCCTTTCTTCCCTGAAGGAGAAAAAGAAGAGAGACAGGCCATATGAAAGGCAGAAACACAAGCAGCCAGAGGAATCTGAAGCTGAGCAAGGCTTAACAGCTGTTTAAGCAGTGTGCTGCGTTTGCCATGAGCAGAAAGAACAGTACCATTTTGGACTGAATCCAAACATTCAGGCAAATAATTCTGCTCAGACCTACAGGTCTGACATTCAAGGTAACAACAGGTCAATATTTACAGTTTCTTCCAAGGTGAAGGTAAATCTCCAAGCGCTAGAATTGATAGCTTTCGTAGAAGTCTATGGAATTCAGAGCTGCCCTCTGTTGGCCTTCCTGATACTAGACAGACCATTGGAGGCAAAAGTTGCTTTAATAGAACAGTATTGTTTCCGGAACTGCGTATTTAAATCCTAAAAAGACAAATTGAGTCATTGTATTATCTTAAATAACACTATTCACAAAGAGCTCATGGTGCACTAACCTTGTCTGGAGATGCGGCTGTTTGTAATCTGTCTTGCGTGAAGAGATGCTGCTACCGACAGACTTATTTAGGACGGTATTTTCTTTAAATTCTCCCCAAGGTTTTAGTCGTCCTACAATTTAGAGACAAAAAGAGAGACTATTAAGTTACTAGTTTAGTAATTGTGTGCTTAACTTCTTCCTGTGAACTTTACACTGGCTCGCCTGTTTTTTGCTGGTTGACTTCAGGCTGAAATGCCTCTTCATCTGTACTACCAGTTTCACCAGCCCATTCCCTACAAGTAGTTCTTCTAAGAGTAGCAACAGGTGACTGTACTTGTACCTAACACTCACCACACACAGTTCAGCTTCTCACACAATAGTGCACTTTAAAAAAAAAAAGTTAAAATAACAATAAGCCTCATTGTGTAAGGGATATCTCGTATTTCCTGTGCATACATCTATTCAGTGGAATAGAAGGATATTTATTCTTATATTTATGGGCTTTTGGTCATAAAGACTTCTTCAGTAGAGAGGCTCTTAAGAGCATATACTGTGTAGAAATTTAATGTCAGTCCACAGACTGTGTGGGAATTCCGAGAGAAGGGGACAGGAAAGAGACTGAAAACTTGGCTGTATCATGGCTTGTGTCAACACCTTACTTTGAGCAGCTGAGTGCAAGGGGTACGACCAATGCAGCCGCATGGGATCGCAGTACCTTTGTGTGGCTGATACCGAAGCGGCCTTGAGAGACTTGCTTTGAGATCAAACGTCTTCTTTGTGCTTGTGGGTTCTACAGAGTGAGCTGCGAACTTGAAGGGGGTGATAACTACAAAAGGCATCAAGATACCATAACTTAATTACAGCAGCAAGAACATCGCTGTACATAGCAAGTTGGAAAGTGCCTGTGAACAACCACCTTACAACTACCAAGACCAAAAAGCCTTTAATGATAGCATATATAGCTCCACGTATTTTTCTAGTGCTTCAGAGCAAGTTGTGTTTCCTAGTCTCTATGCTGATTTGGAACCAAGTTGATTTTCACGTTAAAAAAAGAAGTATTTTTCCAGAACGCACCAGCTTCAGATCAGAAGCAGAACTTTTCTTTCCTCCTAAACAACATCAATATTGTCATACAGCAAGACAGGCAACTCTGGGTTCTTGACCTGTGGTCATGTGCCTGTGCTGCTTGGGTATCAATGGCTAGACAGCAGAGCTGTGCTGGTGCAGGGATCATCAGCAATCAGAAGACTTCTGCTTTTTCTTACAGAGCTTTAGTTCCCCAGTTAATCAGGGTTGCCAAGGCTGACAATAACAGACTGTCCCAACACACAGCTAGCAGCCTGGTCCGTGCCAGTCCCACAAGGAGAATGAGACATCTGAAGGCGCCAGAAACTCCTCTCACCGCAGACAGGATCTCCCTGCACCTGTTGTGTGAATCCTTTGCTGCCTGGTCCCTAAAGGTCTAGAAGATTTCCTATCCCCTTTTCAGTAGGTAGCTAGGTACCAGATGTTTAAGTCTTAGCACCCAACCATTTTAGTCAAAACACTGGAAACCAAAGAAACTACTGCAATTTCTAAATAATCAGTCAAAAATTAGAGAATGAAATTAAAACCTGGGTCTGCGTGACATTAGGTTATAAAAAAACGTATATAATAATTCAATAAAAGTCTTGATCTGAAAGAGCCAAGTATGTACCATCCACTTTACCCTTTGATGCAGTCAGATCATTCTCTGTTGCGTTTCCCTTGCTGTTTTTCCAACTTGCTAGTTTGCAGCTCTTCTGGCTGTCAGGTATGCAGACCTTCAAGTACGGAGACATTCTCGATGGAGTCTTGGTAAGCGAGCGTTTATGCTCATTATCTTTTGTGGCTTCTGAGAACCTGAAAATGATTAGAAATATGAAGTCAGCCATAAGGAATATAAGCAATGTGACAGAATACAGAAGGTTTTGCGTTCTACTTTTCTTACAGGTAGAAAGTTTTACTATGCACAAGATGTTCACCACTTATGTATAAACTGCACTAAAAATACCTTTGCTGGCAGTTTTCAAGTTATGAGCCATCATCAATAGCAGTAAGTAACACTGGGAATTCCAAAGAACTAAAGAACTGACTTGTTATTTTGGAGACCAAATATATTTGGATGCAATAAGCTAATATATTTCTTCCCACAGATATGATTTACTGTAGATTTGGATTCTGTAGTTAAACATTAAAAATATATAGATATTGTTAATTTAAAAATTTAGAATAAGAAAAAACACAAGAAAGTTAACTAACAGAACTCTAGAACTCAAAGATCTACAAGAGAGAGAAGCTGGCAATTTTAGTCAAAACACAAAAGTTACCTGCATACCAAGGCACATACGTGCTCTATGTATGTGTATGTACACACACATTTTTAATGTATGTGTATATATACACATATATGTGTACACATACATAAACACATGAAAGAAAACTTCAAATCTTGCACGAAGTAATACCCTTATCAAAAAGGTACCGAGAATAAGCTGAAAGATATAGCAAGACAGCGAGGAAATGCTGAAGAAAGCTATGTTTTGAGGGCAAGCAAGTTCACGGATGAAGTGCAGCTTGCAAGATCCACCTCAGCACATCTTTGGACAAGTGGAATGGAAGCAAATTCTGAGTGTTGTTTTGTTTTACATATTGCTAAGAATCAAGTAGGGCTGCAGTGGAGACAATAAAGATCATCCCACAGGACACCAGAGGCAGAAAGAACATTGTTTTCATTTGTTATCTGCTAACATCAAAGATAGCACATTTAAAGTAGAAACCAAACCAGTAAGATTATGAGCTTGATTTTACATTGAACCTGTAATCCTGACCTTTGAGCAGCAAAAGGACTGCATTCAAAAGTCTCATAGTAATTTATTAGGAGATGTCACTACTAGAAGTTGCACTATCTGACTTAATAACAATCCCACACACACTTTATTCAGGGACAAAGAAGTCCTAGCAGCTGTAATCTTGGCATGCCAAAGCTGAGGTGAAGATTGGCAGAAAAATAGAAAGCAGCACAACTGAGACCTGAGCTTAACCGAGTGTTGTTAGCAGGGGGAGAAACATAAGGGTAAATTATAGAATGTGTAAAACTGAACTTCAGTCACTGTGGAAAGTTTACTAAACTGAATAAAGTTGGAATTAGTACAATAGTTAGAAACCAAGAAAGAAATAGCAGAGACCAGGACTTTCACTGAATAGAGAACTGGGCATTTATTAATGATTAATACCATACGGACTGTCCTTTTGATTCCTTCTTTTAAATTGTTTTTTGTTCAAGATTTTAGAAAAATTAGTAATAAGCTAATCAAGTTTACCAATAACAAAAATTAATTGAATATTAACATAACAAACAATTAGACTACTGTGTAGGAATAATGAAGCACATGTGATGTCTTAAAAGGAAATAAGATGAGATTTAACAGCATTGAGTATGAGCTCATTCATTCAGCAATCTGTCATGACTTCCTGGTGTCAACTGGTGTCATCTGTCAAATCAGGCAAGGAAGGGAAGAGACCACTATGGCTGAGTTGAGACCTGCTGGGCAAACTAAAGAGCAAGAGGGATCCACACAAGCAGTGCGAGCAGGGACAGGTATCCTGGGAGCTGCTGGGCAAACTAAAGAGCAAGAGGGATCCACACAAGCAGTGCGAGCAGGGACAGGTATCCTGGGAGGAGTACAGGGACGCTGCCCGGTTGTGTAGGGATGGCGTCAAGAAGGCCAAGGTGCAGATAAGAGCTGAACCTGGCAAGGGATGCAAAGAATATTAAGTAGGGCTTCTACAGGTACGTCAGCCAGAAAAGGAAGGTTAAAGAAAGCATTCCCCCCGATGAACAAGAATGGTGACCTAGTAACAGACGAGGAGAAGGCTGAGGTACTGAACAGCTGTTTTGTCTCAGTCTTCACTGGCAACTTCTCTCCTTGGCCCTCCAAAGTCAATGGACCACAAGATGGGGAACAGGAGGGTAAAGCCCCTCTCACTGTAGCAGAGGATCAGGTTCATGACCACCTGAGGAACCTGATGAGATGCATCCCAAAGTCCAGAGGGAACTGGTGCAGTGACTGCACTAGTGGACAAGGGAAGAGCAATGGATGTTGTCTATCTGGACTTCTACAAAGCCTTTGACAGAGTTCCCCAAAACATCCTTCTCTCTAAATTGAAGAGATATGCATTTGACAGGTGGACTGACTGGCGAATGAGGAATTGGTTGGATGGTTGCAGCCAGAGGGTAGTGGTCAATCGCTCGATGTCCAAATGGAGAGCAGTAACAAGCGGTGTCCCTCAGGGGTCCGTGCTGGGACTAGTGCTGTTCCATATTTTCATTAATGACATAGACAGAGAGATCGAGTGCACCCTCAGCAAGTTTGCAGATGACACCAAGCTGAGTGGTGCAGCTGACACACCAGAAGGATGGGATGCCACCCAGAGGAACCTGGACAAGCTATAGAGGTGGGCCTGTGCAAACCTCATGACGTTCAGTTCAACCAGGCCAAATGCAAGGCCTTGCATTGGGTCGGGGCAAGCCCCGCTATCAATACAGGCTGGAGGATGAAGGGGTTGAGAGCAGCCCCAGGAAGGACTTAGGGGTACTGGTGGGTGAAAAGCTGGACACGAGCCACCAATGTTCGCTCGCAGCACAGAAGGCCAACCGTTCCTGGGCTGCATCAAGAAAAGCGTGGCCAGCAAGTCAAAGGAGGGGATTCTGCCCCTCTGGTCCGCTCTGAGGAGACCCCACCTGGAGTCCTGCATCCAGCTCTGGAGCTCCCAGCACACGAAGGACATGGAGCTGTTGGAGCAGGTCCAGAGGAGGGCAACAAAAATGATCCAAGGGCTGGAGCACCTCTCCTGTGAGGGAAGGCTGAGAGAGTTGGGGCTTTTCCAGCCTGGAGGAGGCTGCAGGGAGACCTTATTCCGGCCTTTTGGTACTTAAAAGGGGTCTCAAGGAAAGATGGGGACAATCTTTTTAGCAAGGCCTGTTGTGACAGGACAAGGAGTAATGGTTTTAAACTAAGGGAGGGCGGATTTAGACTGGATATAAGGAAGAAGTTTTTTTCCATGAGGGTGATGAAGCACTGGAACGGGTTGTCCAGAGAGGCTGTGGAGACCCCATTCCTAGAAACATTCAAGGCCAGGTTGGACAGGGCTCTGAGCAACCTGATCTAGTTGAAGATGTCCCTGTTCACTGCAGGGGGATGGGGCTAGATGACCTCTGCGTTCCCTTCCAACCCAAAGCATTCTATGATTCTGTGATTCTAACTTGGTTCCATCTGCTAGAAACAATCTGCTTGGAGTAGTCAATCACAAGACAAGCCCCTGCTGTGACATTAGGGGGTGGGGCAGGCAGGGATTGTGGCAAAAAGGAAAGAAGAGTACCCAAAAAACCCCAAATGACAACTCCATTGCAAGACTCATCTGGAATACTGCATACAGTTCTAGTTAGATAAGCTCCAAGGTAAATTAATTCAGATATAACAGAGACTATCAGGTTGCCTGACAAAATTGAAAACTTAACACAATAAGAGAAGAAAAATAATTTGGCTTGGTTGGTTTAGCAAAATGAAAGCTGAAAGAGGTGTAAGATTCCTCTCCCATCAGAGATCAAAACAAAGAATCAAGTTAGTGACAGCACAGTAAGGCTTAAACCAGCCATAAAGCTAGGCTGAAAGTTAGTAACCAGAATTAGTCTCATGTACTTCATGTTTGGAACAAATATAATGTAGTCAATTCACAGTCAGTGTTGATTATTTCACATGTATGATACCATATTGCTTACTGGTAGTTTTGGTTTGTTCTTTTTACCTGACGTTCATTTTGGTTGTTGAAAGGACAGAAGGATTAAATGAAGATTTCCTAGATAAAATACTCTGACTGGCAGTGTTCAGAGAACCGTATGGTGAGCGTTGGAGGTTACTAGGAGTGCAGGTGGTGGAGAATCTGCCTCTTTCTGGATTTGGGCTGAATAAAAATGTTTTGCCGCTGATTTGTTTCTAGGGAAAAGCAAATCATGAGTTAGCACACTCTGCTAAACATTTGTCAGAAAATCAGCTAAAAGGAAGGTAAAACACACAGTGAATCAGAAGTATACAGTCTCTTCAGTTTTTGTCTTTGTTTCTTTAAAAGCATATTTTAAACATAAGTAGTCTCATTAAACTGATCTGAAAACACATACCTTAGAATTGTTATGTGGAGTGCCTTTTTCTGATGCTCTGAAGTGATTCGTTTTTTTGGCCACCACCTGCCAAAAGTAATTTGTCTGAAGTATACAGTGCTACAAAGTGTGCCATAGAAAAGAGAAATGTAGTGCTCTGGAGTTTCAGCATTACTGTTTTGATATGGTCATCGACATATTCAATCATATATTCATTGACACATTACTGTCACTTTTCTAAGGTCTGTCACACTCTCAGAGGCCCTGTTTGCAGCTTTCACCCATGCAAGCACGAAATACAGGAACTGGGAATTGGGGACACTGAGAACAACATATATTGCATAATGTTTTAAAGGAGAGCCACACGCAGTCATTGGACAATGCTTCTTCAAGGTACCAATGAGGAACTTCATATTTAATTACTACTCTTTGAAAAATAACTCATCCCCTTGGTTAAGTTCTGCAGCAATTCAAACAGTTGTAAACAAAAGCTCCAGGAGATCCTTCACAAAAGTAATTGTGACATAATAATTTTCAGTCAAAACTGACAAGTCATTTGTTGGTTCCTATAGCTATAACCATACACTGTTAATATATAAAAACTTAGATAACTATACAAGTTACATAAAAATAACTATATATAACTAGTCATATAGGACTGCATTTAATTTCACTGATCGTAACATTCCACTGCATGTACACATGACCAGCTACTTACTGCATCAAAGAGACTCTACAGGACTTCTACAGAGAGGCTCTGGAAGTAAATGAATTGGGAACAACAGATATCTTCCTGTGTTATCACTTACCTTGACTTCGCTGCTGCAGTTCTCAGTCATTTTTTTCTTCCTCTCTATGTAGTCAGCAATAGATTCCATTTTCTTGAAGTGAGCCTCATGCAACTTTTTAAAGTCTAAAAAGTTCCAAAAATAGGAAAAAATCACTTATCTCGTAAGCTCCTAAGGAAGTTTACTGCTTAATGGGAGAATCTTGCCACACCTATCGTTATGGCCTCAAAGAAAACATAACGTAACCCTCTAATTAGAGACTGTGTGTACACAGGTAACCAAACAGTATGAAATAGAACCTACTTCATCAGCTACATAGCCAGTTACCTGGTGCATGCTCTGGAGAATTATAGAATCATAGGATGGTTTGGGTTGGAAGGGACCTTTAAAGATCATCTGGTCTAATCCCCTAATTCCGCAGTTAACGAAGAAAAGGAACACTTTCGAATTACAAATGAATGAATGTATTTTATTAAGTGATGAAAATGAGGTAATACATGAAAATCCAGCACAACAGTAGTATTTATAAAGTGAAAACTAAACAAACAGAAATGATAGCATGGCTTCCTGCTCTTTGTTGTTTTGAAAATCATGAATGCAAGTATTCTATCCAAAAGATACTAAAGCATTTGATAAAGCAGTTTTATAACACACGTATGAGTCATTCACTACTATGAATTTACAAGTTGGAAGACATACTTTAAAATGTAACCTTTGGGAACATTTTTGTTTGCTTTCTTTTTAAAGAGAGTATGTTCTCTTCTTCAGGTGGAAATAGAAATTTGGGTTGTAAAAAAATGTAAGTCAAGCCCATGTGCCCATTTTTAAAAAGGGTAGAAAGGAGGACCCTGGGAACTACTGGCCTGTCAGCCTCACCTCTGCGCCTGGGAAGATGATGGAACAGATCCTCCTAGAAGCTACGGTGAAAAGCCCCTCTCACTGTAGCAGAGGATCAGGTTCATGACCACCTGAGGAACCTGATGAGATGCATCCCAAAGTCCAGAGGGAACTGGTGCAGTGACTGCACTAGTGGACAAGGGAAGAGCAATGGATGTTGTCTATCTGGACTTCTACAAAGCCTTTGACAGAGTTCCCCAAAACATCCTTCTCTCTAAATTGAAGAGATATGCATTTGACAGGTGGACTGACTGGCGAATGAGGAATTGGTTGGATGGTTGCAGCCAGAGGGTAGTGATCAATGGCTCGATATCCAAATGGAGAGCAGTGACAAGTGGTGTCCCTCAGGGGTCCGTGCTGGGACTAGTGCTGTTCCATATTTTCATTAATGACATAGACAGCAAGATTGAGTGCACCCTCAGCAAGTTTGCAGATGACACCAAGCTGAGTGGTGCAGCTGACACACCAGAAGGATGGGATGCCACCCAGAGGAACCTGGACAAGTGCGAGAAGTGGGCCTATGTGAACCTCATGATGTTCAAGAAAGCCAAGTGCAAGGTTCTGCCCGTGGTCAGGGCACACCCAAAAAGCATGGCCAGCAAGTCAAAGGAGGGGATTCTGCCCCTCTGGTCCGCTCTGAGGAGACCCCACCTGGAGTCCTGCGTCCAGCTCTGGAGCCCTCAGTACACGAAAGACATGGAGCTGTTGGAGCAGGTCCAGAGGAGGGCAACAAAAATGATCCAAGGGCTGGAGCACCTCTCCTGTGAGGGAAGGCTGAGAGAGTTGGGGCTTTTCCAGCCTGGAGGAGGCTGCAGGGAGACCTTATTCCGGCCTTTTGGTACTTAAAAGGGGTCTCAAGGAAAGATGGGGACAATCTTTTTAGCAAGGCCTGTTGTGACAGGACAAGGAGTAATGGTTTTAAACTAAGGGAGGGCAGATTTAGACTGGATATAAGGAAGAAGTTTTTTCTATGAGGGTGATGAAGCACTGGAACGGGTTGTCCAGAGAGGCTGTGGAGACCCCATTCCTAGAAACATTCAAGGCCAGGTTGGACAGGGCTCTGAGCAACCTGATCTAGTTGAAGATGTCCCTGTTCACTGCAGGGGGTTTGGGCTAGATGACCTCTGCGTTCCCTTCCAACCCAAAGCATTCTATGATTTTATGATGCTAAGTCTCCCTCCATAAGTAGACAACACATCTATTTCTAAAGATGGTAGGTTATCTTACTTGGTGTAGTAGCTTTCGTTCCTGTTTTCTGAGTCCTAGATGCATGGCCTACGTATACAGGGATCTTCCCTCCTGCAAGATGAGCATCACCTGGTATGGTAAGATTAGACAAAATCATTAGAACTCCTGGAATATATTTTAATGTCATTGCAACCTTTTCAAAAGTATTTGTTCCAAAACACACCTTAGTTCCCTAAAGTGTGTTTAGGTTTTGAGAAATAAAAACATCAGCTAGAATAGATATGTCCTAAGTCACCCAAAAGCCTTTTAAATTACATGTCAGTAACAGCATGTCTGTACTTGACAAACTACAAGCTCAGCATGAGTCTTACAGTCTTACTAGGTTATTATCTGTTGATAGTTAAGTAAACATGTGGTAAGCAAAACCAACTTTAGATTCACATGTCTTGATCTGTTCAATAAGCTAGTGTTTTTTAAATGTTGATAACAAAGAAGAAATACCTTTTCGCCAGCTTTTCTGCCACTACCCTACACACACACACACACACACACACACACACGTCTCAGTTATTCTTATCATCTTTGCTCTCAGGTATAGTATTAAGCCCATGTTCACATATTACTGATTAATTTTATTACGAAAATAAATCAGGTAAAGACTTCATATTGAGTTAAATATTTGCCTATCAAAAGCAAACATTTGCTTTTTTATTAATTCACATCCCTTTCAAAGTAAGCTTGGATGACCTCGGTAATATTGAATGAAATCCTCACTGGAAACAAATAATGGGGGCTTGATGAAATTAATTGCTGAACAAAAAAAAAAAAATCAACTTTTCAACACTAAAAGCAGACGTTGTATTTTTCTGTCACACAGCTTTTGCTGTCTGAAATTACTGAAAAGAAAAACAAAACAAAAAACCAGAAAGCAGTATGAATACCTATAATTACAGTTAGAGGAAGAGATGATTACCATGCCAACTGTCGGGGTGAATGCTGCCTCAAGACCAGCATTCTTTACATATTCTGTTACTTCTGTTTTTGAAAGAACTTTAATTGAAAATCCTCATTTTCTAAATTAGTTTCAAAATTATAGATGGCCTCCAATAAGAATGTCCTTGTAAATTCTACTGAACTGCAAGAATATCCATACAACAGCTTAAAGACTACGTACACTGAAGCATAACAGGAGCAAATAATGATATATATCCTATTTGACAGACCAACAATATCAGATTGGGCAGACAAACTCACTTCTTTGTGCCAGCTACATGCACAAAGCAGTGGGGGAGAAATTAATTCATATTTTCAGCACCATCATATTTGAAAGTCTAAAAAAGCCACCAGACAGAATAATGATCCACTATAATACAAGCAGATATTGTTCTGCAGTTTAAACAAGTTATAAAGGATTCTGTCTGTATGTCCTTTTCTACTAATTTTACTCCTGGGAAAAAAGTAACAAATGCTGTTCATCTGTATGAAAAGAAAAATTAAGCACGAGGAAGGAAGCTCTCCCTTTCTTGACACTTTTTAAAGGAGCCTAGTAGCATCTCAGGGGTATTCCAAAAGGCACTGATCCTAAACAAGGTGCAAGACTCAAATACACTCTGACCTTTGTGAACTACTCCACTAAAAACATCAGGTCCAGAGTTCTGAAGTCAAAGCCAGCAGAATTCCTACATTGCAGAATTTGTGGATTTATGTTACAGTATGTTAAACAAACAAGTACACAAACTGAAGTGAGACACCTTTTTTCTTGTATCCCCGTATAAGGTACTGATCACCAGACATACAACTAAAATCTTTGCAGACACAATAAAATAAACAAAAGATGCATTTTAAGTAGTACAAATTACTAAACTTACTTTTCTGGAATTTTCTACTTACATTCACCTCCCCTGCTTTTAGTAGAAGTCTTTCCTGGTTGTTCTCTCTGATCAGTACCTATCCTTGGATTCTCAGTAGCTCTCTTTTTAGTTGCTTGTTCCTCTTTTTGGAACGTCTTCTGTCCCTTTTCATGCTCGCCCAGAGGCACTTCATTTTCTTTCATTTCAGAATGCTCCTGCAGTTTGAGCATACTTCATTTAAACAGTTTGTTCTGACTGGGTATAAAGAAAGGCTGTTGTCCTGAGAACAGTCAGTCAGTGGAACAAGCTGCCCAGAGAGGTTGCATAGCCTCCATCCTTAGAGGTTTTCAGTATCAGACTAGATAAAGCCTTAAGCATTGTGGTCTAACCTCATGGCTGACACCGCTTTGATCGCAAGATTGAGCAAGAGACTTTCTACAGTCCAGCCTGAATTCAGCTTTGAAATATTTATCCCTGTTATTTCACAAGCAGATCTGTATTAGAAAGTCTTTACCTGCACTGCTCTAACATTTTAGTATAAAAATGTCTTTATTGACAAAAGTTCGTTATCTGCAAGCAAAAATAAATTCACTGGCTACTTTACTTTTTAGTATTGTAGCTTTGGTTACTGTACAATTCTGTATCTAACACTCCTCATCTTCTCTTTTCCCTCCTCTAAATTAGTAGAAGCCTTTCACACAGTTCTTAGTTCACCCACTACTTGCACGTAGTTCTAGAGAAAAATAATTCTACCTCCATCTGACCTTGAAAATTCCCCTCCCTCAGTCATATAATCCATGAATAAATTACACCACCAGCCCCACCACCCCCCCACCCTCCCCAAGAGGAGCAGGAATTAAAAATTGTGAGGTTTAGGCAATCATCCGGTTTCTGGTTTTTTTTTTCCTATTTAAGGAAAGTGAAAACAGCCTTACTTAGACAAATTCTGAAACTAGTCTAATATTCAGAATGCTACGATGAACTAGTGAAAGCACTCTTACATTCAGATAAAGTGTTTGGAATTGTATATTTCTTAGAGGAAAATCATTCATTTCCTTGAAGTAAAGACTAACAAGTAATCTCTGTTCGTTAATAGACTAGTACATAGGCAAGAAAGACAAAACCAGAAGGTTTGCACATGACATTCTCGCATATACATACATGCACACACATATATGTAAAAAATGCATACCACCTGCTAAATGGTGGTAGACTAAATCAAGTATGTTTAAATCATGCATGGGGGAAGGCGGGTAGACAGCACACAAAACCAAGCAATGCAAATCACCTCTTTCTCATCAGAAAGCCCTGTGTTTTCTCCACTGGCATTAGTTTCCTCATTGGAATTCTTTTTTCTGGTTATTTTATTTTCTTTACCATGTCTTTTTGTAATGAAATGTACTGAATCAAGCGTAATTTCCTCCTGTTTACTCGGTTCATCCGATTCGATGGAAGCAGATGCACATTTTTCAGAGTCCTGTAGCAGAAAAATACTATGCTGTGGAACGTATCTAACGCAAACATAAACTAAATACTCCAAAGAGACGGTTTCATTATTAGAAAAAGTATTTCAGATGCAGGAAAAACAGTAACATGCCATTTAGTAACATAGTAATCGAGAAATTGGCAGTATCTAGATTTCCCTAAACATCAAAGCTCATTGTTTGAGGACTTTAAAATAAGTCCTACAGTTGTTTTATTACACAGCATTAATAAGATTCTAAAAACTAACACTGTATATTTGAAGTCTGACTTGCACGATGCTGTGACCCTCCCAGATCTGTATGTTTCTGTGGAATACTCTT